ATGTATATAACTATGTACATTTTAGCTTCTAAGCCAGGGAGGAATAAACATATATTTGAAAATGTTTAATGATAAATCTCACAACATTCCACAATAAGTCGTCGTTTATTACACGTCTTCAAATCTCGCGATGCGGGTTCAAGAACAAATAGTTCTGTCCGGACGTGGACATTAATTGAATATTGGTTCCGAATAAGGTAGGCCTACAAAAGACCGTGTGTTTAAGAGCAAGTAAGTCAATTTATAATAAGGGAATCCAATCTTGTTGCGATAATAAATATTTAACAGGTGCGTTGACGTATTTGATTGAAACATATAAATGTCAATGGCAATTAGAGTAACATGTTGTTTATAGTGCTATCAAACATTTATAAATTCTTGTTGCTGCAAAACATTCAAGCTTGGTTGCAGAAACCAAGGGTCGATATGATCTGTTGGGTAGTACTACGATGACCAATAACCATAATCAACATTAAACCCTGGTTCTGAGGCATTTTCATATTTGATATATGGCATATGTTTTGCAATACACTCCACCAGTGAATCATAATCGCTTTGCGTATCTTTCTAAGGCAATATGTGTTTAAACAAATAATGTGTCAAAGATAACGTTATGCACCCAGACACATTCGAGGTCAATCAAATCGGAATTTACTGACATCTTACCCCAGTAGTAACTATAGATACTTTCCTTTGTACATTAAAAGGTTCTTCTCGGTTTTCGCAATTATGAAATCCTTGCAGGGCACCACTCATTTTCCCGAAAGATATGATAAATCAGATAAGACATGGCATACCGGTTCCGCATTTTTCAGTGAAGGATAGTGTGTTGTGATCACAACGTAACACAACTCATATCACAGAACTGTTGACTGTTTTTGATTTGATCTTTATTGACTGTTTTTGTTTTGAAAGCATATTATGATGAATTAGTTGGTAATAACATTGTAGTATTTTTAACTCTGAATACATCATTACATATCATACTTCAAACTTGTGATATGTTCAGTAAGTGTGCTGCAATTGCATTGTCGTGGATGTTGCAACTGACTGACGATTGATATTTCAATTTGCAGAGATGAAGCGTTGTTTGGAGACGTACATAATAATTTGATAATTAACACTCTTAACGATCATCACTTGTAGTACTTATCTACGTTATGTCTAATTTAGGCAACTAATATATGTTATATGATCATCAAGAATAGTACTTATCTACGTTATGTCCAATTTAGGCATTTCTAGTTCTTAAACTATACACTAACTTTACACATTTCTATGTTATATGATCATCAAGAGTAGTACTTATCTACGTTATGTCCAATTTAGGCATTTCTAGTTCTTAAACTATACACTAACTATACACATTTCTATGTTATATGATCATCAAGAGTAGTACTTATCTACGTTATGTCCAATTTAGGCATTTCTAGTTCTTAAACTATACACTAACTATACACATTTCTATGTTATATGATCATCAAGAGTAGTACTTATCTACGTTATGTCCAATTTAGGCATTTCTAGTTCTTAAACTATACACTAACTATACACATTTCTATGTTATATGATCATCAAGAGTAGTACTTATCTACGTTATGTCCAATTTAGGCATTTCTAGTTCTTAAACTATACACTAACTATACACATTTCTATGTTATATGATCATCAAGAGTAGTACTTATCTACGTTATGTCCAATTTAGGCATTTCTAGTTCTTAAACTGTACACTAACTATACACATTTCTTTGTTATATGATCATCAAGAGTAGTACTCATCTACGTTATGTCCAATTTAGGCATTTCTAGTTCTGAGACTGTACACTAACTATACACATTTCTATGTTATATGATCATCAAGAGTAGTACTTATGCATAGCTTAGTACTCGTGGCATCACTTTAAGCGACAACAAGAACTGAAGAAGAATGATAAAACATATATACAATCCTAATACGATATGCTGTTGCGACAGGAATTAATTCATGACTGTCTTTTCTGGATGTAAAAATCGCCCAATACCTGTTCGTGTCTTTGCAAATAGTGAGTGAATGAGTGAGTTTAGTTTTACGCCGCATTTAGCAATATTCCAACTATATGACGGCGGTCTGTAAATAATCGAGTCAGGACCAGACAAACAGCATGAGCATCGATATGCGCAATTGGGAACCGATGACATGTGTCAACCAAGTCAGCGAGCCTGACCACCCGATCTCGTTGGTCGCTTCTTACGCTTTGCAAATAAGCAAACGAAGGGAGTCACATGGTTTCATTTCAGAAGCTTTCAGAACTCATTTAAGAACACTTAACGTGTTCCATCACCGAACATTGTTGCAGGAATAACGGACCATACTTCCAATTACCAATTCCATTCATACAATGTATGTCCTTACTGAGGTATTCGTCTGTGACCAGTACTGCACCCAGGTATGTGCTAATGCCTGTGAATATTTTACTACTATTGATGACAGCGTGAAATTCCATATGAATCACGAGTAATTGGGGCTTATATTTACTTCTATGTTTTCTTGTTTGCCGAACATCAATGCGACATTTTAAAAAAATCCAGGAACACATAAATCCAATATCTGCATACGGCATTCCTATCAATTTGACTAATGCCTGGGTGGCCTCTGATTCCATGGAAGAAATCAGTATAATAATGGTTATCATCCTGAGGATGAATCATACATGGGGGTATTGATTACGTTTATACTTGAAATGAAAAATATCCATTGAAAACGTGTTCACTACAAACGTCGTCGTTTGATATCTAGAAATGATTCTCAATAAGGATAAATACCAGCTCATTACCTTCATGTGCTGATATGAATACGTAGATGGAAGTTAAGTAGAGTTGCTTAAATCGAGGAGCACAAAAACAATTTTAATATCTAAAATTAGCGATATTATATCCTAAACATGAACTGCACTGGTGCATAGTCAGCACTCAAAGAATATTTCTACATGTTTTGAATATAACTTGATTCCAGCCTGTTAGAAATAAAATGAGTAATTCTATTTTTGGCACAAATTTACTATATTCCAACATGGTAGGATGTGGCTGCAAATTCATTTCTTACCCGTATTCAATGAATCAATACGTTGGTTTTACACCAAAGTACCCAGTCATGGATTACTGGTACAAACTGATACAGGTATCAAAAATGGTAACTAGACCTAATCAGCTTTAAAACATGTCTACACAACACAAAACAAACTCTATATACTTTCTATGTATACTTTTTTTTGCCCTTCATTTTTACCTCCCCATGATGTTTGGCTTACCAGTTGCTTGGAATATGCATCACAAATATAGAAGTATGCCCCACACTCTTGTGAGGTATTTGATGTCCACAGTCGTTGGTTATCAGCTGTGAAAGACAGAAACCAAGGTGACAAGGACACAACTAGTGATCTTGGCTTTCTTCCAAAGGGTAAAAGCTATGACACCGGGTGTCTCTAATTACGTAACAGTGTTATTGATTTGTTGTGTTCATGTTTGGAATACTGTATTCTCAACCCAACATTTGAGCGAATAATACATATTCAAACAAAACAGTAATGTAATCGCTATTTCTAATATTGACTAACCTTATACGGTTGAAAAAAAGAGTTGTAGACAGATGATATTGGTTCCATATTCTCATTAACACAGCATTCTACAAGCAAACATGTTTAAGCTGAAGGTAAATACACATGCTCTTGCCAATGGAAGACAACAGTTACATCCCATAAGCCCTTCACATACACACTGTATGTCATGTCCACTGGCGTTGAGTCAAGGAATTGGAGAGGGGCTGCGTAAGCTCACCTTTAAGCAATCATCCGGTATAAAACAGAAGCATATAATTGGCAATGATGAATAATTTTCTCAGCACGTGTATGTCGACAGGGGAACTAGCTCAGAATTATACCTTGAAGAAATGTTTTCACTCCAAACTTCTTTAGTTGGTTATAAAATAATCATATGACATTAAGAAATAATTCAAGCAGTAATTATAACATTACTATGATGGAAGGTTATCATACTTATAGGTGCAGTCGGAACATAGTATAGCCTGTCAGGCACTCAACAAAAAAAGTTAAGGACCACCACAATTTTGTATTTAATAGTTATGATCCATATAATACCTAAATATTGAATATTGGGATGGGTCTTAACTGTTATGTTGAGTAGTCATCAATGGACAAAGAGACAACAATGGACAGATAAAGAAACAATAACACTACTTAGGACTAATTGATATAATGGCAGACACGGCTGTGAGGATAAACAATAAAATGATTAATGTCATAATAAAGACACACTGTGAAACAGTTGAAATTACCCTAACGAGAAGAAACTCAGCACTTTACACAAGTGAAGTAGTCGAAAAGCTGTAATCTTGAAAGATAATACTTTGTCAAAACAGAGTGACTTGAAGTGACAGTATATTCGGAATCGTACAGTCTACTCAGCTTTTAGAATATATTTCTTAAGGTTATGAAAAGATATTGGTCTTGTTTAAAGACATCTTTGGAGAGACCCGGGTGATTTGTCTTTGCACTTCGACATTTCTGTGCTTTCCATGGTACTTAGATTCCAACTGTAGCACTTGCTGCCGTTCACTATTTTCTTCATGAAACTTTACCACCCTATATATAATAATAATAATAATAATGTGTCCATTTATATAGCGCCAAACTCCACACTAGGTATGATCATAGCTCTAACAATCAAGGCACAGCACATTATTACCCCGGATAACCCAAGCTGCCTGTTAGGCGCTAGAAGGTTATAGTCATATGACTACTTTTCACAGGGTACCCATTTTCCTGCTGGGTGAACAGAGACAATTTTGAACAAACTCACTTGCCTAAGGTGAGACCAAGATGTTATATTATTACATTAGTTTTAAAATGTTGTTTTTCATGTATGTAAAGCGGTGGAGGGTGGGTGTTGGGGTAAGAGGTGGGTGTGGGTGTGGGTGTGGGTGGGGGTGAGAGGTGGGTGTGGGGATGAGAGGTGGGTGTGGGTGTGGGGGTGTGGGTGGGGTGAGAGGTGGGTGGGGGTGGGGTGAGAGGTGGGTGTGGGTGTGGGGTTGGGGTTAATGGTGTTATTTACGAAACTGAACTAAACGATAGAACAGGATGTTTATTACATTCGTTAACATATTTTTTAAAATTGATATAACATAAGGAATGATGTTACAACCGATCGGCTATATGGCTTTGTGTAAATATAATAATGTTGATATGAAAATGGAACAGTATGTATGAATATAACACAACTTTCCTTTTCTTCTTTTCCAATAATTATTTATCCTTTCATAACTGTTTCTAATTATCAATACAAGGATAATGTTCGTGCAATGGATTTCCTCTTCCTATCCTTACACTTTGTTTTTTAGTGAGAACCATGGGGTACTGCCCAAAGTATTCTTAATTATAGGTCTGCCATTCAGTTTTGCTTTTATGAAATAGGAAGAGAAAAAAAAGTGAAAAAAGACCCCCCAAAAAGAATTTAGAAAATACATCACCTTCAGATGTGTCTTGTCTGAAATGTAAAGAATTGAACTATGTTCTCAGATTCCTAGAATACCTGATGATGATTTACAAAAACATATATACTCAAATCTGCAAATGGACCCAAGGTCCTCCAAAATAAAATGAAATGGAATACGTATATCATTTCACAACCATCATTCGATCGAGCTTTATGTTATTCAGGAGCTTCTCAAGAAGGATGGTCCGTTCCCGTAAACAGGTGCTTGACAACGATATGTTCGAGCTGCGATGATGATGTCCTTCACAATGCCACCACAGAGGACTGCAAAGTCAATGCTCTTGGCAAAGTTCAATCTGTTTTACATTGGAGGCGACTGTTTATACTGTACGATAATACAACAGGTGGGTACAGAAAGGACATATTGGAAGTATCAGCAAACCCATTTCAAATACCATCAAAATGAAAACATATGGACAATGAGTTTCGGGGACAATGCCATTGTGAGTCAGGTACCCAGGTTCATTTAATGTAAATTACATTCAAAATCGTAGCTGTTATATCGATCCATCGATCCCCAATAGCAAATCAAATCTGAAAGGAATGTTTTGATTATTGTAATATTGTATTATTGACATGTCCTAGAGTCCGGCTTGGACAGTTTGATTGACCAGCTGTCTATCCGGACACAGTCCATATCCTACCAACTCCTGAACATCTCACATTGGTACCGGAACATCACTAAGCTGCTCTCTACAGACGCTGCATACACGGATCCCATGAGACGAATAATCCTGTTCTGTGGGGAAACATGTATTTCGCGTGTATTGGCTATGGTAATTAACTCACCTGTCATATACACACTAGACTGAGGTTATAGAGAGGTAGATCTATAAATCAATACACGTTTCACCTCTACAACTTTAACGACTACCTATTGAACAGAAATACACTATAGTGAACATTGCTGACGGAGTCGAAGTCCCCAAACAGAGAAATATAATTGACTATTTTCAACACCCAGAGACCTCTAAATGTCTTGTATATATTCGATGTATTCCACCATTTTGTTCATCTTTTGTAATGATCCATTGTATTCCTCCATTGTGTTAATACTTTGTAATGATCCTTGGGGTTCACCTGGTGTAATGATCCGTGTTCATTTATTACTTTCGGGATAAATAGATTATACATGTAAATATATGCATATTATGTATGTATATGATTATATAAACATTTTATCACTTTCATGTATTAGGGATCATAATGAAAAACTCCATATCCAGTTCTGGGGCATTCGTTAAAGGTCAGTTCTTTGGACAGTACCTCGAACACACTTACTGAATAATGATCAATATTTGCTAAGACAGTGTATCTAGGTGTATCTGTATTATAGGTGACGTCCCTGTCTCCTCATGAAAGTCGTCCAGGCTACCTACAGCACTTCTCCATGTGGGTGATGGTAACTGGTGTATCTGCCCGACACAGACTGAATACCACAACGCTGGCCAATGTGTTGCTGGTAGAGGCGCCATGTTCAGAACAGTCGCAGGTGCTTCATGTGTTTCGATTTGTATATGTGAGAGTTTTCGAAAACCTAATGGAGCAGAATATGGAGAAAAATAGGAATTTTGAGTTTATGAAAGAAATTTTGAAATAATGAAAAAAAGACCCCCCAAAAAAACAAAAACCAAAAAACAAACGAACAACAAAACAACAAGCAACGAGAAAGAACTTTTAATTTTGATTGAAACAACCACACAGACACACACACAGACACAGACACAGACAGACACACAGACAGACAGACAGACAGACACACACACACACACACACATATAACGAGGGAAAAATTAGAAATTTAAAAAAACTTAAACTAATAATTGAAATATCGGTTTATGTTAATGTCCCAAAGTGGCATCATTATTCTTTTAACAGTACTGTGTTAATTGCAATCCACTTGAGTAATTTTTAAAATGCCCTAATATTTAGTTAATTAATATCTGACTAAACACTGTCCTTTTATTTGATCCGACAATTTGAAGAAGTTCAAAAGGGCTTCAAAACAACAAAACAAACTCATTATATTAGAATTAGAAACCAAAATATACTCAGCAAGTTAAAAACTTGACACCAATATTATTGGTAACAGTTTTGAGTGCCATAATTCTTTTCAGCGTTATATTCTTCACGGCAATGACATGTAGGCTTTTTGAACATACTCGTGGTGACCGACGTAAAACATTTCGTCATAAAGGGTCATGGAAGTCCATTAATTTTCCTAGTAAAATGGAAAATGCAATATGTTATTCTTTCCTTGATGAGAGCATTACGCTACACATCTATTTTAATAAAAATATACAAAATACTTTCTTTGATGGTTTCACAATAATATGTGTCAAGATTTTGATTTGGTTGAGTATATCAATGCGTTTTCTCTTAACACTATCTATTACTACTTCTTCTAGGGTTTACGTCAAGCTTTGAATTCTGGAGTCTTATTCTGTTTCGAAATTCTCACGAAGTGTGACCACTGGCAAGCGGATGTTAAACTGACCCATCAATCCGCGAGTCCCATCGAAGTGTTAACCGTAAAATATGATTGTTGTGGTATTGTCTTACAGAACGCTGCTTATACCCTAATGTACAGCGCAATGGGACGCAGATGGGAGAACGTGGACTTAAGTGAGGGATCGGTTCTGTCACAGGAGCACGTTTTGTTTCCAAACAGAAAAAATGGTTTCAATGGAAGAAAGCTTCTTTTGGGAACCATGCCAGTGAGTATCCGTTGTCATTGTTACACTGGAAATCTTATCAGCATAGGGGATCTTCCTCGACATTTTAGAACATCATACTCTTAATTCAGACTTGCAGATGTGAACATACAATTCATAATTAAAGCATGTCATGCAAGCCTAAAAGCTATTTTCCTTTTGAAAACGAATTGAACATTTTGTTATGTACACGTATGTCACTCTACTCTGAAGTGAGAAACAAGTTTATTGCGAAGTAGTTCAGTAAATTCTGTTTCTGCAGAGAACAAACCCAATTGTAAAAATATGAAATAAAATGCTCCTTCATGATCATGCTTGTGTGTGTATTTGTGCTGGGGTTCTCTTCACGTCGAAACCGTGGTTTGATTCTTTATATGGCTGCATTCTGGAAATCAATTTTGGTGACAGATGTGTTAGATGTTGATGAAATATTGCTAAAAGCGGCCTACCTCTATTCTTTTGAAAAGTATATATCAAGAAGTTGCGGTTATGTTCACGATGACATTTTTGGTAGCAGTGGTACACGTTCGTTGAGAGAGTGCCTGATGGAAGCTATCGTGGCTACTGCATCGATGTGTTGAAGGAGGTGTCAAGACTTCTCAACTTCACGTAAGTAGTCTATATACCATTGTCTCACAATACCATGATCTCCGTCTTGTGTATAGAGCGCGGGGTCATAACATGCTGTGTCTGTAGAACACTTTACCAGGGTCCTGAGCCACACTGTACATTAAGGTAAGAATTTATGGATGTCAACTTCGTTATTTTGAGGAACACGGCGATGAAAGAGTAAGAATATACTCCGGAACGCAGTGTTCCTCAAAACAATGACGTTCGAAAACTTCACACTGAACATATCAAGACCAAGACAAGATCACCCACATAGTTTTAATGAACCAATATGTACATGTGGGTGTATTATATCTCCCTACAGTTATTTACATCACCCTTACAGGTACACGTTTATAGAGCCAGCCGACGGAGAGTGGGGCAATAACGTCGGCACTACCTGGACCGGACTTGTTGGCCAGCTTCAGAGGAAGGTATTGTCTGTCTATGTATTTTCCGTCTGTGAATGTGCCGTGGTACCGTAGTACCGTAGACATGTTCAGCAACTAAAATCGAATCGTTTACAAACAAATTTGCAATTCATGTGAGCGTGCTGTTTTCCGGCGCCACGTTGCAGTTGACCCTGGACACATTCTTCTTCAGACAAACCCCAAAGGAACTGCTATTGTGGATGAAACGAAATCACCCACTCCGTGTATTCTTGGAATAATTATGTCATCTGGTTAATTTGTAGCTATAATGAAAGTGCATGTTTTGAATATTTCGTTTGATCAATTAGGATCAGGAATTATGTTGTGAATTATTGTGAATATTAGTCTGGTTAATTTGGATCTGGTGACGACAACGGACACCGAGAATTAAAATGTATTATGTGGATTATTATGAATATTTCATATGGTTAATTTGGATCTGGAACGAGGGTGCATATTATGAATATTTTAAATGATCAATTTGGATCTAGAATTATTATGTGGATTATTATGAATACTTCATCTGGTAAATTTAGAAATGCTTATGTAGAATATTTTGAGCATTTCATCTCATGAATCTGGATCCGGAAAACGTTTGTGTATTATGAAACTTTTATCTGATGAATTTTGCATGAGGATGCACATTATGAATTCTTTTTCTGTTCAATTTTTTCTTTCTTAACTTTCAGGAAGTTGATATGATTGTAGCTCCAATAATCTCTGACTATTTCCGAGAAGAGGTTGCCGACTTTGGCCAGCCGGCGATCTACTATGAATACACAGACATCCTGTACTTCCTCGAGCAGTCTTCTCATTTAACATCAATATCCTTTCCGCTGCAACCTCTTGTCATCGTGTGCTTGTTGGTGTCCGTTGTCGTCGTGGCGATGCTGCTCTTGCTGATGGAGAAGACTTTGGTTAGAGGCACCAATGCTGATTCCTCTCTCTCGTCATGTGTCATGTGTGTCATTTTCACCGGGGGTGCGATACTAAGACAAGGTAGGACGTGTAGCCAGTATCTAACACTGCGGGATGTGTCCCATTAGGCTTAATGCTTCCAGGGATAAACTAAGATGAAAGATGAACCTATGTCATATATTAGTTCCTACACACTATTGTGAGTGTCAAACTTTAACAAGGGCGGTGGGGTGGCCTAGTGGTTAAAGCGTAGGCTCGTCACGCCGAAGACCCGGGTTCGATTCCCCACATGGGCACAATGTGTGAAGCCCATTTCTGGTGTCCCCCGCCGTGATATTGCTGGAATATTGCTAAAAGCGGCGTAAAACTAAACTCAGTCAGTCAGTCAAACTTTAACAGAACAATTCTCAGCTCAAAACAAACGTTTGGGGATGGCAAGTTTTGTTTAGGTGTTTCACAAACTGCATACGCCTCCATTTGTTGTTCACATACGTTTAGAAAGAAAAATTATGCTAAAAATGTGAATGTATGAAAGGGCATTTCAGAGATAAGTTTAATAAAATGTCCTGGTCACACAACCACTGAGTTTATTTTAGTTCCTGGGTCAGTTAATTTATTATTTCAAAGAAAAACTGCACATTATTGTTTTTGTTTCTGAATTTGAACTTTCGAAATATTACGTTGTAATGGTGATACAGCCAAACTCCACCTCTGATAATGTTATCTTCTTGTTTTTTTTCTTGTTGTTTCATACTAAACTCACCAATGTTCTTGCTTTGTCACGGTACCTGTTGATAAATATAATTACGGCAAAAATATATCGCTGGGACCTATATCCCTACCTGCAATGTCCAATGTCTCCGAAAACTTAGACTTAAATGCGATGAAATGCAATAGGAATCTGATTATATAGTGTAATAAGTACAATGTATTTTTAAAACGTTGATATAAGCAACACCGAATTGTGGTGCAATGGAGACAAATTATGTGTTGCGGGTGCCCACCGTAGGACATGCTTTAGTTACTTTTTTACGAACACCTGGTGTCATGGCCAGGTGATCCATTAATGTGCCTTTTACGCCGAGTGGAATCTATATCTGATTATTCTCTGACAATGACGTTATATACAATGTCAAAACATGTAGAAACAAAGGTCACATATATATGATTGATCACATCACTCTTATTTTCCTGAAAAGATCAAATCTAAAAAGACTTCATGGGATAATTTAAAATTGATCTCTCTTTTACGACCTTCAAGTTTAGGTTAACATGGGTTCTCCTTTGGTCAAAAGTTTGTTCACTCCGAAATGCGTGTGTTACGGGTGTCACACGCGTGGCCAACGGGTTCCACATGAGTGACCAACGCGACTCACACGGGTTGCGTCACGCGTTGCACACGCGTGAAAGGGGAATGAACATTTAGGCAGTAGTGTATGTGTACGACACAAGCATCTCTCTTTGAGTTGTTTTACCTTTACATTACCAGGAGCATCCAGTCTTCCACAGAGTATCTCAGGTCGAATTTTGACATCCAGTTGGTGGATGTTCTCCATTGTCATCATGGCCGTCTACTGTGGTAATATAGTATCCATGCTCACTTCAAGCAAGGCCACCAGACCCTTCAGCACACTAGCTGAACTACTGCAGAACACGGAATATACGTTTGGAGTTCTTGGGGGGTCAACTACCGTCATGCAACTTAGTGTAAGTAACAATGTGATATGGAATTCCATGAAAAGGCAATATTCATCTACATACCTAGTATGTATTTTTGTATTTTAACCAGATGAAATAGCTCCTTACCATAAGTTTCAAAAGAAACGAAATGTCGATCTCAATATAAAAAAGGTCATGTATTTGGACAATTAAAAACACATTTAGACAATGAAAAAGAAACCTATGGCTAGAAAGATTCATTTTGGATTCGAACACTTACCAGAGATTGTTCAAATCAACATGTCATAACTGCCAGAAGTGTTTTGCGAACATCTGGTGCCATAACTTACCAATTTTCGCACATTGTAATAATGTCGTTGGATAATGGAGACCAGTTGTTCACATGCTTTGGCCTGTTTTGTTGTTTTTACGGGCGTAATAAAGTCCTACATGTTACATGCACGTTCGAAAAGTATTACACGGACTATTGAGGGTTAAATGTACACATAAAAACAAACATGAACGGCAGCTCTTTGAATGACGTGGAATGCACCTTGCACAATCAGACTTTACATAAACGGTCGTCACCGGGAATTGGTGACAATTGAAGCTGGTACTGTTGCAACGCGAGAGGTACTGGTTCATTACATTACATACCATCATCTTGTGGCATGTAATGTACAGGAAAATAGCATTCAGGATCTCCCAAGAAGCGAACGTCCACTTACAAAATCGTTATCTCAGGACAGAGTTGTCGCCGTTTTCACTTGCGCCAGTTCCTTACATCGTCAGCAGCAGTTACTAGCGGACACTTGGAAACCACTACAGCATCGTGTCGGCAAATAAAATACGTGGGTTGTCAGGCGCAGAAGCTCATGCTTTAGGATGTGCTTTTCTTTAGGGATTGAGTATAGTTACATTTTTTCATTCGAATATGTCCTGTATTTTATACATTTCTTATATGGAAAATTTTCTTTCACAGTCGACGTCCGATCCCATCCTTCAATCGTTTTGGAGCAAAGTTAAGATCTTTAATCAATCTGACCAGGATGTCTTGAGTTCAAAGAATGATGTGCATATTTCCAAGGTCATGAGAGAGAAGTATGCATTTCTCGCTGGTCGATCTGATCGCCCTTCTGATGCTGGGTGCAATCTGACCTTTTTAGGTCGGGAAATATATCCCATCACCTATCATATTGGCTTTGTGGAAGGATCCAACTTGAAACCACTAGTAGATTATAGGTAAGGTAACGGACCAAGAATCTATTTAGGCTCCGAAATAAATCTTAAGAAGAATATTTTTAAATACTATAGTTCTCTGTATAGTGATATATTACAAATGCAGTCTAACACCGTTGTGTTAAGGTTGAATGAACTTGAATACTCAAGGTGTTTCCAAAATAAATGAAAAGAGAAAGAATAAAGAAGGGACCAAGCTCTGTTACTTCTTGACAACAGTAAGTTCAACACAACGATGTTTACCTGTAATGATCATACTCTCTCTCTCTCTCTCTCTCTCTCCCTTATGATCTACTCTCTCTCTCTCTCTCTCTCTCTCTCTCTCTCTCTCTCTCAAAACTGATATCTTAGCATGGGATTCTCCCATTTTCCCATTGTAACTATAGTATGACCAGAAATTAGTAAGAATTTTAGGAATATGTTTAATTGGAATTCTAGTATAAACAACCTTGACCAGCTATCAAGTGCTTGGTTTCATTCCGTTAATCCTTTTTCATTAGTTTGTGAAAAGTTATCCCCCTTTGTTTACTTGCTAGCAGACGACATTTTCAGTGATCCTCAGTATGGATGATTTAGAGAAGAGGAGGTTGATTTTAGAGTATTATAACAAGGACATCAGATCAGCTAAAGTGAACAGGCATCCCTTTGTCCACTGTTTATCGTGTTTTGAAAAATATTGCAAATGGATATGGCATTGACTGATTTGAGCACCAGGGAGGCGCAGGTAGGCCCAGAAAATTGACTGTCCGTGACAGGAGGCGGCTTGGTATTCTTGTTTCTAAAAACAAATGAAGGAGTTTAGAAAACTTAAGACTGGATATGATTGATAGAGGAATTGTGGCTGTCTGTAAGGAGACAATTAGAACTGAGCTGCATGCAATGGGTTGGCAGAAAAGTCGAGGAATTCCATCACCGATCATGAAACCTGAACAAAAGGAGCGAAGGTGGAACTGGTGCTTACAGGATAGAAATTGTAACTGGGACAATGTGATTTTCTCAGATGAAAGTTCTGTGTGGCTGTTTCCTAATACACTGAAATTGACCAAACAAACTGAAAAACCTTTGTATCAGCGCCCAAAGTACAGTCCGAAATTTAACGTGTTGGGTGGCATATCTGTGTTAGGGGCAACGCCCCTCTATGTATGTGAAGGGAATATGAACAGTGAGCGGTACACAGATATTCTCGAGGGACATTTACTTCCATCTGCTCATGTGTTCTATGGAAATTTTGGATTTTCCAGCAGGACAACGACTCAAAACATCGTTCAAAGCATTCACAGGCCTGGTTTCGGACCCAAAATATGACATTATTAGATTGGCCAAGCTATAGCCCTGATCTAAATCCAATAGAAAATGTTTGGGTACTTAGGAAGGAAAGTGTCAATAAGAAAAATCTGACAAATATTGCTGAAATGAAAGAAGAGGTGGTCCGATATTGGGACAGCATGGACCACGACTTTCTAACTTCTTTGATCAGTAGTATGCCCCGCCGCATTGAAGCCTGCATTGCTGCCCATGGTGACTTGACAAAATACTAACTGTTCACCTGCTTTGAATCTGGAGTTATGTTCTGCTAATATTCACATTTAATACGTGAGTAATGAGTGAAAAAAATATAAAAAATTACAATCTTTAAATTCTCAATAATTTCTGGTTGTACTGTAATATGCTTACATTTTACAAGAAAATTGATACATAGAAATATTGAGGCAAACCGTATCTGAATGAACGATATATTTTCAGTCTCAGTGAGATGACATCTCAGGGTCTCCTTGGTCGCTTGAAGACGCAATGGGGACTAGATACCCCTCAGCAGTGCCAGCTCTCTGTGAGAAGGAAGACGTTTTCTATGTTTGACTTTTACCTACCACTGTACATTGTCGGCTCTGGAGTGGGAGTGAGCTGGTTGGTGCTAATTCTAGAATTCATGTATTCACGACTGAAGTGTTCATGGAATATACTCAAAGCGTGAAACTGATTCATGTAGTGGATTCTGGAGAGAGAGTGAGTGAGTGAGTTTAATTTTACGCCGCATTCAGAAATATTCCAGCTATATGGCGGCGGTCTGTAAATAATCGAGTCTGCACCAGACAATCAGTGATCAACAGCATGAGCATCGATCTGAGCTATTGGGAACCGATGACATGTGTCAACAAAGTCAGCGAGCCTGACCACCGCCACCCGAGAGAGAATTTATAACAATTGTTTAAATTTCGTGCTGTTGGGAGCTACAATGCTGTATCCAGGAAGAACATAATTACGTAGATCATTGTAAATTGGACAAAGGTGATAAGCTTCATTGACTGCATCAATATAAAATGGTCATAATAGAATGAATAGAATGGGCTATATTTTACAGTTTTATTTCGACGGATGTAAACAATGCTGAAATAAGGATGCAGATTTCTAAAAGGTTGTTAAGATTTAAAATGCTATCAATACATAGGCATAACGTACCATTTATATTTGAACTCGTAACATTTGTTTGTAAATGGGGAATATTGCGTGTTAGATGATTTACGTTAAGAACCAAACAGTTGACTCATCTATGCTATCTTTGGGAGTAATAAACTCACTTAGGAGAAACCGTTTTGCAACGTGAAACAAGAACACAAACATTCAATTCTTGATGAATGGGTTTTCAAATCTGTACCCCAGGTCATAATAGAAGAAAGCTTTTACAGATCTTTCACAAAGTCATTGATGTCTTTAGCCTGTATGGTGTATATCAGAAAGTATGGTTTGGACAATACCACTTCCACACTGACATTAGTTCAAGAGGAATATTCTGTATGTTCACATTGGTCACTGGAATTAACGAAGGCCATTACGTCATTGTTAAAATGATTTATGTGAAGACATGCAGCAATCTAACAAGTTAACCAGCCGATTCGTCATGGTTGTTTTTTTCGTGTTGTCCATGATCCAGATGACACATACACACTTATACGGTGGTCATGCCTGAAACATTGGTACTGTTCCTGCCTATCTAGTTTCCTGTTGGTACAAAGTGAGCCTTGTTGATATAACAACTTTACCAATGATCCGTTATTCCCGAAAACATCTGCCCCAGCCAATAACATACCGTCACTTTGGAAGCTTCTAAGTCCTGTCCACCCATAACAACAACAACTGGTATTAAAGGATCACAACAGTGAACCGTAACAGTGAACATCTCTGTTAAGCGGATAAACTTAATGATTTAATTAACTGTGCTACTATCCATTCAGCTAACTTCCTTACATCCATCAATAACATAAATCAGTGCTTATTTCCCCTTGTCTTCCTTTTATCCATAACCATTCTGTGCTTGTTACCTATCAGTACAGATTAACTCCCATCATTACCAATTGCCCATTGCTATAACCAATCTGCACCAGTTAACTACCTGCTTCCTTTGTTTAAGTGTCTGTCTTTGACTTAGTTTTTCTTTGTCCTTACCACACGTGCATAACTAAGCTCTCTGTTTTCTAGCTCCCATGCACATGATGCAGTAAGAATATACACCGAAACTTCGTGTTCCTTATAATAAAGAAGCTGACATCAATAAATCTTCCATTTTATGTGTATCACTTTTAAATGCCATCCAATGGCATTTTCCTATGTAAGGAATATTCCTAAATGCAATCTCATGGCATGTTCCTATGTACGGAATATTCTTTAATGTCATCCAATGGCATTTTCCTATGTACGGAATATTCCTAAATGCCATCGAATGGCATTTTCCTATGTACGGAATATTCCTAAATGCCGTCCAATGGTATTTTCAAATGATCATTGTCAGTCTCTTCGAAAACAAATAGCGTAATGTCCAAATATTTCGATTCCTCATACTCATACAGTAACTTAGGGGCTATATTCTGTCATTAGTGATCTGAGCTGAGGATGTTTTTTGAAACCGGTCCCAGTCCATGTATTCCATAAGCGGTAAGGATGTCCCGCTGATTTATGACCCTGTATAGCAGAGGCGTTGAGTATCTGCTGACGGTTGGTTCGAACCGAATGTTAAACCTGTAAGAATCGTTGATGGTTTGTTTGATGTTAAAATAAAGTATTTTTTTTATCTAACTGAGAAATCTGTCAGTCTGTCTTCCTGTCTTCCTGTCTGTTTGTCCACTGAACCAGCATTGTGTTCTGAGTCTATATATACAGCGTGTCGGCGTCCGGTCAGCTTAATGCTTCCACTTCGAAATGCTTTATTCCATCCACGAATTAAAACATTTAAAACAAATTTTAAACAAAGTTGTTGACTTCACACAAGGATGACGTGAGTTGACTGTGTGGCCCTGCATTAGAACCAATCGCTGCAGACTGGAACGTGTCAATATCAACATTACCTATCTGTGGTTATATGTTGGTAATAACTGCATCTCTAACAGAATTCTTATTGTTAAATATAAATAATATCTAAGCATACTATGTCTTGATCAGCATTACTTTTCTTGGGTTACATGAGACAACTTCACCTCTAACACAATAAAAAATGTAAGGTATAAATGATATTAATGAAATCTCAGCTTACTATGCACGTATATATTATGTACATCCTTTAATTACATGAGGATACCGTTACGCGTTATACATCACTGTTTAGATTCTATTAACACATGGCTCAGTTGCAATCATGTCCGCAGGAACTCCCCAGATAACTCGCGTGTTTCAATATGGTTAGTAATAATCTTACTTTGTGACAAGGTGATCATGTTTGCAAACACCTGATGATCGATGTCAAGTCCTTAGATTTCTGTCACTGTGTTACTTGGAGTTTGTGTTTACTTTGTTCAGTCGGATCTTTATTTTACATTTCTATCGTACCAAGACCAATAAGTGAGTATTGGTTGAAGTGATACTGTAAAAATGCGCTGCAGAGGTATTAACTGACACAAATAGGCCGATAAGGGCGCATAGCTGAAGCCTCTAGAGATCATATTACCTTTATTCCAGTGTTGCTCGGGAGTGAGTTTATATTGTGTATCAATGATCTTGACTATACATTTGTGAGAGAGTCGTCCTTCACTGTGGCAAACGTTCGAGTAGGAACAAGGTAACTATATCACGTCAGGAAAAAAATACGTTAACAGTCAAACAAAGCTTCAATGTTAATGCCAGTGTTTATGCATTTTCGAAATCACCGAAGTGGCAGTAAAATCTCAATATGACCGGCCAACCTATCGTCTGATACCTTCGGAATTATTATAAATAAGAAGAAGAATTTTTATTTTTGTGTCACATGTTATATATAAAACAAACATAAACTTTAAAACATTCAATAAAATATAACATCCGGCCATATGAGACACAAGGCACTATATTATATCTAAAACAGATAGTAGTAAATAAAATATCACAGCTTTGTAAGCAGCAATGGATATTTAATTACATGACTACAAACTACGTTTACAAATGGTTACCGAGAAGAAAGAGTGTTATAATTTGTGTTTAACATGTTGTACCTTAAGACCCTTAATATAACATCTGGCCTGTGAGACAAGCCACTACATTCTACCTAAAACAGAATAGAATATCACAATTCTCTAAGCAACAGTGGAGTGTGGTATATTTAATTACATGACTACAAAGTGCGTTTACGTCTATTAAACATTTGAGTAACTAATGCAGCTAAGGGTTTTATTAATTTAACATTACCTAGCATATATTTAGCCTGGTCGGAAGGTGGCAAGAGAGAAAAAAAAGGGTGAATATTTTGTACATTTTCCCACAAATCATATCGTAAATCCGAATATAGTGGACAGCTGACCAAAAAGTGAACTTCGTCCTCAATCGTATTGCCATCACAACATTTACAAATTTTATCGTCTAAAGGTGTTTTAGGGCGTGTAAATCTACCGACCTCTATTTCAAGAGGTAAGGTGCCACATCGTAACTTGCTAAGAGTACTGCGATGAGATCTAGGCAGAAGTTCAGTGACATATGGTTCAGCTGTTAATAGTTTCTTAAACTTTCTGTAAGTACGGAGTTTATTCCCGTTAGGTTTCCCTCGGTCGTTCCAAAGTTCTTTATTCCAGTCCTGATCATGACAATCTAATGATCGTATCCACAGTGAGGCGTAATAAAATTCCATTTTAGACATATTATATAGGTCAACCACGGGGAGATCCAATTTGTTAAGAATATTTACAAGAATTTTATTCCGGGATTTTGGAAAAGTATTAGACCATCTGCACACAGCACTAGGTATTCTCGACTGCTCAGTAGAACACAGCTTACTCCAGAACTTGTCCAGAAGTTGTCCAACCCATCTCTCCCCGGACCGCTAGATTTGGAATCTTACTGCCAACGCCCAGGAAGAATCTACAGGCTTTGTTTTGTACTGCATTTATACAACTGAATTGTTTTGTACCCCATATGGCTGACCCATAGGATAAGATCGGCTGGACAAGGTTATTGTATAATGTATTAAAGACATTATAAGCCAAACCACCACAAGATCTGAATTTACACATGATAACACCAAGTGCTCGACTGGCAGATTTAGCGATTTCTTTAGCTGTAAAGTTCATATCAATGTTTTCCTGCAACCAAACTATAGTCAATAGTAACATCGCCAATTTTGAATACAACTTGTGATCTATTGAAACAACAGGGTCGGTAATGAACGACATTAGTTTTCTTCTTATTAATAGTTAAACGCCAACGTTTACACCAATTATCAACGCAATCTAACATCCGCTGTAGGGACAACTCGTCTCCTGCTATCAAAGCAATATCATCAGCGTACAGTAGTGTACTCAACATAACTCCGTCAATGTTTACACCACAATTGAGAGTGTTGATTTCTTCTGCTAGGTCATTAATGTAAATAGAAAACAATGTCGGTGACATTACACAACCCTGCCTAACACCGGAATTTACATTAAATAAATCAGTGAAACAGTTGTTTATACGTACACGGGCGTTAGAGTTATTGTACATAGATTGAACAGCATAAAGGAATTTCCCTTTGATTCCAAGTTTTAACAGTTTAAACCATAGACAATTTCTATCTACCTTATCAAACGCTTTCATTGCATCGATGAAGCACACAAAAGTAGGTTTCCCAGTTAGCTTTCTGTTGTTGATTACTGAATATAGACTGTAAATATGTTCTTGAGTACTACGCTTGGATCGGAAGCCATTTTGTTCCTCAACCAATATATCATGTAATTCTAACCACTTTGTAAGTCTAGTATTAAGGATATCTGAGTATATTTTACATGGGACTGAAAGCAGTGAAATACCGCGATAACCCAATGGATCACGTGGGTCACCCTCGGGCTTCTTGATAGGATTTATAAAACTAGTACGCCAAATATCCGGGCACTTATTGTTTTCAAAACAAAATGTAAACAGTCTAAATAAAAGATCAATACATGTTTTACTTTTTAGAGCTTCAGCAGGTATACAGTCTGGACCGACAGCCTTACCACGTTTAGAACGGGCAACCGCGTACTCAACCTCCGCCAATGTTATCGGTTTATCTAGGTCACTGGTATCAAACGTCCGATCACTCGCCCCGTGACCGTTGTCCATTTCATCCCGAACTCGCTGTAAGTGAGCCTCGTCAAAACAGGAAGAAATGTCAGTCTCAAACAGAGAACAATAGTCACGTTTCCATGTGTTAAGTACAGTCAATTTATCTGTAGACACGACACCATTTTCAGTTACTTCCCACGGGATAGTATTTCCGCGGTCTGAAGCAATGCCTAATTTACCGATTGTTTTTGTATAGGTTAATCACCCTTACAAGGTAGTTACTTAAATAACTACCGCAGTGAGGGTGATTAAACGGCTTACACCACGAGGGCATACTTATTTGATACGCGTGTAATGTATTAGGCATGATGAAGATGATCAAAATGAGTACAATTTTATTGTTTTTAAATAGAAATAATTGCCCTAGGGCAGTTATTGAGTTATGCTAATAAAACACTTCCAAGAACAGTGGACATAACTTTCCTAGTGGTTTAAGCAGTGGTATTATGCCTAGGTATAACAACAATTCATAATCTAACAATGTTTCTTTGATCAGTACAGACGGGAGTCTCTTCCGGAAGCAATGATTTATTGCGTTCGTTTAACAATTAAATTTGCTATTGATCGGTGACCGACTGACTGACTGAGTTTGGTTTTACGCCGCTTTTAGCCCAGAACATCACGCGGGGGACACCGATTTATTGCGTTTGTGCCCATTGGGGATTCGAACCCGGGTTAAATAGTGACGAGCCAACGCTTGAACATATAGGCTATCCCACCGACCCGATCATACTGAGTGAGTCGGGTTTTACGCTGCTTTTAGCAATATTCTAGCAACATCACGGGGGGACACCAGAAACGGGCTTCACGCAATGTACCCATGTTAGGAATCGAACCGGCGCTCCGGCGTGACCAGCGAACGCTTTAACCACCAGGCTACCCCACCGACCCCCATATTGATCATATAAATGTACACATAATATAATTATACATTATAGCATCATGAGAGAATCATGCTCTATTACTTCAGAACGGATATTCAAAGAAAGTAGTATTACTTCTCGACAATCCACCTCTACTAACAACAGGACAAATGTATTTCAATACGTTTACTGACATTTGATTCTTAAAGGTCATAGTCACAGTGGAAGAGGGTCACAACAACGCGCAGGTGCCTTCTGCTTTTAATTTCATGCCCATGACATTTTTGTGTCTTATAAAAGTTGCTGTCTAAAGTCACAAAAGTTGCGTTTGTGCAGTGCACTAGTTAACGAATATAGGACCAACATGGTTCAGTAAAAATAATGAAGTTGTGGACTAAAACGAAACATGTACAAACAAAATAAGCATTCTCGGTATATCCTATGCGTTTCTGTATTTGAAGAGAGCATGGATGGAGTATAGAGTATATAAAATATTAATCAAGAAAAAATATGGTTATTTAGGTGATAAACAGAGGTATATAACGAAATTATGATAGCTCTAAATTTGATTTAAAACCTCTGATTTTCCAACACAGTGCGTTTATCTCCAACCGCATTATTAAGATTTTAAAATAACACATACTGTGTTGGAAAATCAAAGGTATATAACGTGATTATATACCTCTAAATGACTTTGATTAACCAATCAAAATCCAGTATTTACTCAAGTCATGGTAGAATTTTATTTGATAACCCACAGAATGTTTGTTATTGGTCCACGATGATTAGGTTTTGCATTAAAAATGAAAATAACTAGCGGCATTCTTCTAGTAGCAATAATTCAGGCAATACATCCCCGCAAGACCTTAAGGTGGAGTTCACTTACTCAGTCTGTTTTACACTCGTAAAATATAATTTTATTGAGGACCAAGGTTTCAAGTGGTATTCTGACGGCCTCGGTGTGTTGAGGTTGACACTGCTTATTGTGCTTATAGTATCCAAGGCCTAGTGTTGTTGGTTACAACTGACCCGGAGGAACACAATGACCGAGAACCCTCTTTATTGATAGGGCTGAGAAAGGCGTTAGGCTGCAATGCCATTCCCACTGAGCAAGCTTCTACACCTGTTGATCCAAATCCATGGTGTAGCACTGTAGCTATGGGTAAATATTAGCATGTGTGTTGTATCAAACAGTCATATTTTCTCGTTGAGGAATTGATTAGACAGGGGATAAAGATATGCTGCACTTTAAACGTATTTTAATCCTTTCTGCCTTAATATATTCGGGGAGAGAGGGGAGGGACGTTATATTGCGTGATTTATTTTAGTTTTTTGTTAGTTATATTGAGGATGTCTTGTCGTTCATGTAACGAAGCCGATAACCTTTTTATGTGCTTATCTGTCGGGCTGAACCTTCGTAAACACGCAAGGTTGGCAGGACCAAGGTCGGGGTGGTAGAATGTGACGACGAAGGCAGCTACTCGTATGCTAATTGTGCTTTCACAGTCGTGTATTTACCAGTTGCTAGTTACAAGTTAAAGAGTGAGTGAGTTTACTTTTACGCCGCATTTAGCAATATTCCAGCAATATTATGGCAGGGTACACCAGGAATGGGATAACATATTGTACCCACGTGGGGAATAAAACCCGGGTCTTCGGTGTGACGAGCGAACGCTTTAACCACTAGGCTACCCCACCGCCCAGCAAGTTAAAGACTATATTGTGCCTGAATTGGAAACTGGGTTTAAGCCATTTCTGCCATATCAAGTTTGGAGAGGCACATTGTTGTCTGAGCATTACGGAAGCATTTCGTTTGACTTCTAGCACTAGGCAATTGTCTTTGTTCCCTCAGTACAGGTAATGCATTAAGTCGGCGATGGAATTACAAAATTCAGTGTTTATATCCTTGGGGATAAGACAGAGTTGGGACATTCTCGTATGTTGATCTCTGGAGAGAAAGGCATGCAACGAAATACATTGTCACATTGATATCACTAGTGATAAGCCAGCGATGGAACACGTTGTGACATTGATATCACCAGTCATAAGCCAGCAACGAAACACATTGCCATGTTGATCACTTTACTGATGTATAACATGGTCATGTTGATCTCTGTAGAGAAAGGCATGCAACGAAATACATTGTCACATTGATATCACTAGTGATAAGCCAGCGATGGAACACGTTGTGACATTGATATCACCAGTCATAAGCCAGCAACGAAACACATTGCCATGTTGATCACTTTAGTGATGTATAACATGGTCGTGTTGATCTCTGTAGTGATTCGTCACCACCGCCACTACTTCTACCGCTACTACTACTAATTCTACTACATCTTTTACGCCGTACTCAGAAATATTCCAGTTATATAATGGCGGCGATCTTTAAATAATCGAGTCTGGACCAGACAATCCAGTGATCAAAAACATGACAACATACTACTACTACTACGACGACGAAGACGGCGGAACCTGGTAATTTTAAGTTGCATCGGTTAAGGCCCCATCCTAATAGACACTGGAGATTATCAAGGATGGCTTACCCCCTTCTTTAAGGTAACCAGTATCGATATCATAGGCATTGTTTCACCAAAGCTATCGTAGCGCTACGACTGTCGTGCCTCCTATACTTTTGTTGTTTCTACGACAGTCTTAGCGCAACGATAGCTTTGGCTATATCGAGACTGGGAATCCTATGAACATTTGTCATAGCAGCATTAAACCCAACTCACAACCTCACTCCCATGCTATTCAGATGTAACAGATGTCTACCCCTTTAACAAATTCACCAAAGACCATTTTAGAAGCGAAATTCCAAAATATCTATTTTATTAAGCTTTACTGAAATCTTGAATAACACAGATCCTTCAATGTGTGCGGGATATGCCACCTAAACATCTGGTATACCATTTGTAACCTCATGAAGATAAATAGCATTATCTGTAACATAAATACGACATATGCGACTTCAGCTCTACACCGGCGATGTTCCTTTCCCCTTCTTGCTCTCCACCAGCATCAGTACCCCAGCCACACCCTCCAGTAACAGAGCCACGATAGCCAGGCCGAAGCTGAACCCCAGCTCTCCGATCTTGACCGTTCGGGTAATCGGTTGACGGAAATACCCGTTGTCAAACTCAGCTCCAAACACGATCACCGCTAGAAGGTAACATATAGCTGAAAAACAAAACAAAACAAAAATAAAATAATAACATTTATATATAAGTAAGAGCGTATTGTCAGCCTGTATGTTTTATCTTGCATGATTAATACATGTACGCGGAAATATGTTCTACTGATATTACCTGATTTTTGACACAAGAAAAACACGTTAAGCACGTTACTGGATGAATGGTTATATACATACATTTGTACAATACACCTGTGATGATCCGGATTAGAATCGGTCTTTTGCAAGCAATAGAGACAACTATTAACTTACATTTTGTAATAAAGAAAAAAATTTAAGATATTATGGTCTGAAAAGACCATTCACATGATGTGCGATGTCCATGAATTGTTTTTTACCTACAATCACTGAATGCAAAATGAGTTGAACACGTTAGCTGAATAATAATATATTAGATATAAAATATAAAACATTGATCCGGTGAAAAGGCATTGAATGTTAAAGGGTGAACAGGCCACAGTGAACACCTGAGTCTGATATGAGTATTTGTATTTAAGCATGCAATAATATGGAATCGATACAGTTTTCAATAATTAACACAGGGAATCAGTTACGGCACCTGTGACAATACTCTGTATAGCGTTCCAGAACCCGATGTCGGTAACGTCATCACACTTGGACGTGAACACTTGCAACACGACGATGATGAAGGCAATGTTGATGCCGACGAAGCCAAAAATGGAGAGAGCCTGCACAGCTGTGTACCAATCTGCAAGAGAGGAGACAATAGTGACACTTTAATGAAGGTGTATCTGTAATCAGATATACGTATATATGTAATATTTGCAACCCCAGAAAGTGAGTGAGTGAGTTTAGTTTTACGCCGCACTCACGCGAAGATGGTAACGTAACACAGGATGCACGTGGCGAGGGTGTGAAGTTTAAATTTAAGTGGGACGTGGGCAAGGTCTGTCAATTCAGGGAGAATTTACTTTCAGCTGGTATATCTAGATTGCTTGAAAGCATTGTGACAACTTTCTTTCAGATATTAATAACGCAGCAGCATTTCTTACAGATGCAATATGCCAAGCTGCACAGTGCACGAAACGCAAACATGGCATGAATTGACGAAATTAACTGCCTTGGTTTGACAAAGAGTGCACATTTCTAAGACATGAGAAAGACAGACTTTTGGGGTGTTTTAGACATTTTAACGATGTAGCATTGCTACGAAAGTATGTACTTGCCAGAAACATGTATAACTGTACTTTAAAATCTAGAAAAGGAAAATAATACAGATCTGCAAAAGATAAATTACTTGCAAATCTGAATAACTCAAAATTGATCTGGGACACCTTGTGCAGGCTTTCTTCATCTTAAACTTCTATTCCCAACATAACGATGGACTCGTGGTATACACATTTCAAAAACATATTTCAGTATACAGATACATATGCATTTGATGTCGAATTACATTCTTATGATCATGATATTGAAGAGAAGATAGATCAAGACAGCCCTAGTATACTTGACGCTCCTTTTACAAGAGATTAGATCTATGCAGCGATTACTGAACTAAAATCATCTAAGAGTGCTGGGCCTGATCATATCATAGCAGAATATTTTAAGTCCTCACAGGATATTTTAGTTCCCTATATTCAGTTGCTATTCAATGTTCTGTTTGATCGAGCATATTTTCCAGAATCCTGGTGTATGGGTCTTATTGTACCTGTACACACGAAAGGGGGCACTAGTGTAGTTAATAATTACAGAGGTATATCAATTACAAGTATTTTCAGCAAGCTGTACATACACATTCTAAGTAATAGACTAACATTCTGGTGCTCTTGTTATGAAAAAATCGTTGAATCGCAAGCGGGGTTTCGCAAAGGTTACAGTGCTATTGATAACATTTTTATCCTACAGTCCGTTATTGAACGCTATCTCTAAAAAAGAGAGGTAAATTGTATGCATGTTTCATAGACTTTCCAAAGCCTTTGACTTTGTGAATAAGGCAAAACTGTGGAATATTTTACGGCTAAGAGGAGTAAGCAGTAAAATGCTAAAATCAATCCAAGCCCTCTATTCAAGTGTTAAAGCGTGTGTCAAATGTAATAATAATTTATCAACATGTTCTTATTGTCCATTGGGTTTGCGACAAGGGTGTATCCTAAGCCCTCTTCTTTTTTCCATTCTTATCAATGAACTAGCTTATGAAATCGAAGCATGTTGCGTACCAGGAATTCAGCTTCTTCCTGAACTTGTACAGTTATTTCTTCTTTTATTTGCTGATGATGTTGTGTTTATCTCTGATACAGTGTTTGGTCCACAGAAAAGACTAGATGTCCTAAAGATATTATGTTCTGAGAATGAATTGTTTGACGGTAAATATGGAAAAAACAAAGGTAATAGTTTTCAAAAAAAATGGTGGAAGACTATCGAAGTATGAAATATGGTTCTATAATGGTGTACAAATAGAATGTGTTTCCTAGTACAAATATCTAGGTATTTTATTCAGTAGGTCATTAGTATGAACCAAGCACATAGAAAATGTATGTCTGCAGGCCAAACAAGTTTTTTTATATATTTAGATCACTGTAAATGTTTAAGCCATTACTTTTGACTTTTTCTTTAAGATTTTCAACACCAAAGTTTGCCCAACTTTATTATACGATGCAGAAATATGGGGACTGAATGTTGTTAACGAAATAGAAGTTGTACATGTAGCAGCTTGTAAACGATTTCTAGGAATTAAATCCTCTGTTTCAGCGCATGTTTTGCGAGGCGAATGTGGAAGATATCCATTGTATATTTATACCATCAAAAGGGCTATTAAATATTGGTGTAAAATATTAAAAATGTCAAATGAGCGTTATGTAATATATAAGAAAACCTATACTACAAAACATTTCCATAGTTACACACAGTTTTAACGATTACAGTCACAAAATGCAGCATCATTGTTTTAAATAAAAGTTACATCAATACTTTTTCCTCTATGTCTATCTCCCAAAAGCGTGAGCGTATTGCCTCCATATCCAGCATAAGCTGTAGAAGCTGATACTCTGAATAGTTATGGCTTCCGCCAGTCTGTCACAATGAAACCAAGGGTGGCTGAGTCATCTAAGAATCGCTTGGAAACAGCAGAAAACCAAGTCGTGCGTGTGGCGTGTGACTCATCCCAGTTCGTCCAGGGTATGTTGTCAGGTTTGTCCGCATCGAACCCTGTTTGCCAGCATCATTTGGTTTCAGTAACTGAGACGCGCAACACTTTAGGCCTTCCTCCCACAATAACCCTAGTAGATGTCTCTTGAAACGCCCTGGTAAACCCGGAATGTTGTTCCAAGCGGCGTTAAACTCATCTCACTCACACTGAGTACTAACAGAATGAGGACTGATTGAATGTGAGTTAATCCCAACTTACCCAATTATAATGACGTGACAATGAAATAATGTGACACTAACCTAACAGAGTCCCATCTAAAGGAGAACAGCCCGAAGGGCCTGAGTAGAGATTGGAGGCAGCCCGAGTACAAATCCTCCACAGACCAAGTCCTGTGTATCCACCATCAGTACTCAACAATGGATTAGTGTATTTCCTCCCCCACTCAGGAACAGTGAAAGCAATCCAGCTACAGATCTGAGCCAACACCAGAAGAACCAGGCAGACTTTAGTGAGGATCGAACTCTTCATGAAACTGTCCTTCAATCCCATACTGCTATATGTACGTATGCACGTAGTGAAACAGCGTGAATGTGTTGATACATTTTAATGTTTTCTTTATATACGTGTTAGCGGTTGCCACAACTAAAGTTCACATCGATTTTAAGGTTGCTTGTGGGCCAAATGTACCCACTTGAGAAGGAACCCGTTGTTCGGGTTCTCCACGGGTGTGGTGTCTTTACATATCTCCAGCCCCAACATTAACTTTGATATAGACAGAACATTAATTTGTGGGTGATAAATTTGAACAGTTTTTCACGCCGACTGTCCTGATTGACTTGTTTGATCTGATACAAGTTTCTGTTGATCGAAGAGAGGGTCTGGTAACCTTCAGTCTGTTGTCTAGGACAACGATGTTTACTGCAATCTGTTGTCCAAACACGCAGGAACACGTATACTATTTAGGTAACTATGGCCAAAAAAGCTCTAAATGAATCCTGAGGGTTACTGAGTGAAACTTATAAACAAGTCGGAAGTTTTAAAAAGAGACATAACGTGCATTGTTATCTGCCAAACCACCTCTGCTCTCTGATCGCTTCATGTGTGAAAGAGACTTCTACGAGGGTTATAGTTTATTAAGTGTAACCCCGATAATCCGAACAGTATTACAAAGTGTGAAGTTGTCCTGAATGGCCATGCATTGCAACTTCATATATTTGTTACGTTTCCTTGCAGTATTTTCCTTGAAAGCCTTTCCTTTGCCTTTGTGGTGTTGGGACTAGCAAAGGTGCATTTGTATCTTCATGTTTATTTAAAGATTATATGAAAAAAACCCACTAACGACATGATAATCTCCCCTGTATTAAAGTGTATGTCACCTAGGCCGATAGTGTAAAATCTCACTTAATACAAGTAAAAAGTAACGCATGTGAGATGGTATGACTGTTGATAGTTTATTCATGACACATTCAATACAAATACAATATGTTTTATTGAACGGTGTTTGATTCGTGGTCGTTGGTGTAATTCACAAAAGCAACCGTTTTAAACTTTTGTAGCTGTGTATAGAATTTTTTTTATAAATGATTGCGGGGTGGTGGGGTAGCCTATTGGTCAAGGCGTTCACTCGTCACGCTGAAGACCCGGGTTCGATTCCCCACATGGGCACAATGTGTGAAGACCATTTCTGGTGTCGTGATATTGCTGGAATATTGCTAAAAGCGGTGTAAACAACAACTCACTCACTCACTCAATATAAAAGACTGCGACAATATCATGAAAAGGAAATTATAAGCAGAATTCAAGAAGACATTGTGTCTTCTACGGTGACAATGACTAAAACAGGTCAAACGTCAGTCAGTATTGTGTCATATGTTTGTCGAATTATTCGAAGTTACGAAGACTGAAAGCTGCTTATGGCTTATTGCAGTTGGAATACTTGCGATCAAGGATTATCGTAAAAGTTGCTTCGTTCACCTTCGTTTTAGTGGTTACAATAGGATAACTACATGCTAATTACGTATTAGCTTACTGTTGCAGTAAAGAGCTGGTACAGATCCAAGACGTTTATCTTTGAAAACCATGAGCTCGGCACAGTTGACTAACTTTGACCATATGCATGTTAATCAAGGTGGATCTTTGATCCGAACCCATCGTTATCGCATTCTGACAACAAAGGGACACAGCTCGCGCTTTGTGGAGTCTGTTGTTCCTTCAGATCACCCTCAGATTATTAGACTTAGCCGTAATTAACGGCACAGGCCTTGAGGTCACAAGTAATAACAGTGGATATTTGTAACTACTTGATGGAGCCATCACGTCCAATATACTACAACATCGCTGATATAATACATTCATTTTGCCCTTTTACGTTGAATTATGGTGTGTTGTTATTTATCTTTCCATCCTTCATTCCAGAGTCATCAAGGGAACAGAGTAAGAGCAACTCCATAATGCTGATTTTGTACATATGCAAAAATAAAGCAATCTGGTATTATTTGTAAATATCACATTATTGAGTTACTATGTTTTGTACAACAGCTGACTTTAACTTTCTTTATTGCGTTTGGTCGGTTGTTGCAATACACAAGCTTACCGAGAAAAGAAGCGACAAAACTGTGACCAATGATAAGAAATATCAAATCCATTTTACGGTTTCTATGATATGATTAACAGTGTGTATGGGTGCCGTTCAAATAGAGATGATACCTAGTATTTTCGCGAAAAGATGAATTAGCCTCGCAATCGGTGGCACCATTCACACATACATGCTAATAAAAGGTAATTCTTCACCTGATACAAACACGGAAGCATATGGTCCAATTAAACAAGGAAATGTCCTACCCATAAAGCCTTTTGAAAACTATACTGAGGCATTAGATGTCTTTTTTAAGGAGTCGTGTGACGCTTTTTGAAATCTACCAAGAAAGAGCAAGCTCGACTGTACCTCCAAAGCCGTGAAAGTGAGACACCAAATGCTGGAGCCGGTACAATATTGCACGAAATAAATTTGAAAATTGATTATTGGAATGTTGACGTAATCTTTCTTGTTATAGAATATTGTGCATTGTATTTGTTGCCCCTCAATATGTATAATCAGTCAAACACTGTTGTGTCGAATTCGATGTGTCGAACTACGGTTGTGTCGAACTACGATTGTATCGAAGTAAAAGTTTTGTCCCAGCGTATTCCTTGTTGCTAATTTGACGGTTGTGTCGAATTTGGTTAAACTCGAAGTATTTATGTGCGTCCCCTCAACTTCGACACAGCGATGTTTGATTGTATGTGAATCTGAAACAAATGTGACTGTTTCACTGGACTTCTAGCTGAGGCGGGTACATCAGAGGAAGGGATTGGACAATTTGACAAGTGTAAATACAATATCAGTGATTAGACATACCTGACGCTTTGCAGGTGAAGATCTGGGTAAGATCTGACCCATGCTTGTCGTAAGACTAACGTGGTCAGGTGGTCAGAATCGCTGACTTGGTTAACAAATGTTATCACAGTTCAACTGTGTAGGTCGACGCTTGCAATGTCAATCACTTAATTAACTGGATAGACACTTATTTACAGACCGCCTGCATATAGATGAAATAAGTGGACAGTCATTTAGATGGAATGAGTGGGCTGCTTGTTACCGTTTTTGTATATTTGGTAATTCCCTACAGCATAAGTTGTGAGAGGTAATGGATTCCGTCCGTGTTTGCGTGTGTCCGTCCGTGCAGGATGACGTTACAGGAATACATCGTGAAATACAATCTGTCTTCAGCGATCCTGGTACATAGTGGTGAACTGGTGAGGTTTGATAGTTTAGGATTTTTGAAAAAATGTATTTTCGAGTTTCTATGGCAACAACCCTGGATTTGGCAGATGTGCTAGTTTCCGGAACAAAATCTCAAGAACGTAGAACGCAGTTAGGTCTAGTAGTAAACTGGTACGGTCCTTTGATAGTTTTGTATTTGTCAAACAAATATGTGTCAAGTTTCTATGGCAACAAGTTCAAAAGTTATTTTCTAGTGTTTACCGGGGCGGTGGGGTAGCCTAGTGGTTAAAGCGTTCGCTCTTCACGCCGAAGACCCGGGTTCGATTCCTCACATGGGTACAATGTATGAAGCCGATTTCTGGTGTCCCCTGCCGTGATGTTGCTGGAATATTGCTGAAAGTGACGTAAAACTAAACTCATTGACTCACTCACTCACTCAAGTGTTTACCCTTGAAGGGGATATCGCTGACTTTGTCCACATATCCACTTACTCATTTCACCAAAAGCACGTTTAGTAGGGTTTCAAGTGATCAGTGATTACTACATTATAAATGTCACCCGAATACCGACAGATGTCATAAATAGTTTCACATCTAGAATCTATGGTTTTTAAGGTGAATCAGTATTGTTCTCGGCTAACCGAAACAACATCTTTTTCATATTGAGAGTGTGTTCTTTTGCACCAGTATAACAGTTCTGGGAAATTAATCGAATCTGAAGTAGACAAACCAGTGATTGATGTGATGAGCAACGTCGAAGCTGTTTGAGTACGCTGACTCGGAAATCCCGTGAAACTAATCGCCTTGGTGTATGTGGTGGCCGCAATGTGACCAGGGAAGATAAAGAAAAAATATTCCTAAATAAAAATAACTTCCGATAATCTAGCCGTACCGTGATGCCACTGTGTATGCATCTCCTACCTCTGATATCTACAGGCGATCGACATGTACGTAAAATGTGAGAGTCCTAAACATAGGTAACAGGTAACCCAGCTCCTCATTGATCCGACGGTATAATTATCCCCTAGATGTATAAACCACGAGCAACCTAGCTCTGCTTTGAGTTTAAATGGTAAATGTATTGTCTACAGGTAGCCAAGCTCTACACTGAAACAGCGGTGTATTTATAGGCTAACTATATACATATGTACAGGTAGCCAAGCTCTACACTGAAACAACGGTGTATCTATATGCTAAATATATACATGTACAGGTAGCCAAGCTCTACACTGAAACAACGGTGTATTTATATCCTAAATAAAGCGTCTACAGGTAGCCCGGCTCTACACTGAAACAACGGTGTATTTATATGCTAGATATAGTGTCTACAGGTAGCCTGGCTCTACACTGAAACAACGGTGTATTTATATGCTAGATATAGTGTCTACAGGTAGCCTAGCTCTACACTGAAACAACGGTGTATTTATATGCTAGATATAGTGTCTACAGGTAGCCAAGCGCTACACTGAAACAACGGTGTATTTATATGCTAGATATAGTGTCTACAGGTAGCCAAGCTCTACACTGAAACAACGGTGTATTTATATGCTAGATATAGTGTCTACAGGTAGCCCGGCTCTACACTGAAACAACGGTATATTTATATGCTAGATATAGTGTCTACAGGTAGCCAAGCTCTACACTGAAACAACGGTATATTTATATGCTAGATAAAGTGTCTACAGGTAGCCCGGCTTTACACTGAAACAACGGTATATCTTTATGCTAGATATAGTGTCTACAGGTAGCCTGGCTTTACACTGAAACAACGGTATATTTATATCCTAAATATAGTGTCTACAGGTAGCCTGGC